ATAGTAGGGATAGAAGAAGTCCAACTCAAAGGCACAGAAAATACATTCAACAAAATCATAGATGAAAACTTTCCCAACCTATAGAAGTCATGCCTATGAAATTACAAGAGCTTACAGAACACCAAATAGACTGGACCAAAAAAAAAGTCCCCTCAGCATATAGTAGTCAAAACAATAAACATGCAGAATAAAGAAAGAATATGAAGAGCTGCAAAGGAGAAAGGCCAGGTAACATATAAAGGCAGACTCTCAGAATTACACTTGACTTCTCAACAGAAGCAATGAAAGCCAGAAGGTCCTAGACAGATGTTATGCAGACACTAAGAGACCACGGATGCCAGCCCAGACTACTTTACTCAGTAAAGCTTCCAATAACCATAGATGGAGAAAACAAGATATCCCATGATAAAACCAAATTTAAACAATGCCTATCCACAAACCCAGCCCTACAGAAAGTACTAGAAGGAAAATACCAACCCAAGGAAGTCAGCTACATCCATGACCAAAGAGCAAGTTGGGAAGGAAAGGGTTTATTAGGCTTACACTTCCACATCACTGTTCATCACTGAAGGAAGTCAGGATAGGAACTGAAACAGGGCAGGATTCTGGAGGCAAGGAGCTGAAGCAGGGTCTATGGGGGAGGGGTGTGTGCTGTTTACTGGCTTGTTCAACCTGCTTTCTTATAGAACCCAGGACCACCAGCCTAGCTCCATCAATAATGGGCGGGGCCCTCCTCCACCAATCACTAATTAGGAAAATGCCCCCTTTCAATCGATAATTCAGAAAAAGCTGCATTTTATGGAGCCATTTTCTCAATTGAGGTTCCCTCCTTCCCACAACTGTAGCTTGTATCAGGTTGACATAATACTAGCCAGAATGGGATGTCAGTTAAAAAAAAAAAGTCACAAAATTTCAGTTAGATAAGAGGAATAAATTCAAGAGATACGTTCTAAACATGTGGTTGTGATTTGTAATTTATTGAGCCTTGAAAATGTATGAGAAGTAGGTTTTAACATGTTCTCAGGACAGAGAAATACATGCAAAAGTAATGTATACTAATTAGCCTGATCTAGCCACCCCACTCCGTATGGCTATTTCAAAACATCATGTTTCCATGATCCTCCAGAGTGCTGGGATTAAAGGTGTGCACTACCAAGGCCTGGCCTGGATAGCCAACAGTTTGTAGATGCCAAACTTACTGTTGAATTGATTTAAATATTTCGTCTTTATGTTGATATTTACCATTATATTTATGTGAATATTATCACAATAATTTTTGTCATATGTAAACTGACTTTATAATGGTTATATTTATATAGAAACCTCAGAGTTTATGCATGGATTTAGCTTCCATGATACTTTCCTGAGGGCTGAGGAACTAAACCACTTAGTTCTCTTCCTCAGCAGGTGCCTTTATGCATTTCCGGCCAGTGAGCAGAATTGTAGCAACAAAAAGTACTGATCACAGCACAGCCTGCCTTCCACTTTTTATTATTTATAGAGATATCATACTTGAGTATGATGCATGTGACCACATTAATCCCGTACTCCCACTCATTCTAACCCTCTTCTCAACTGGTCCCTACTCCTGCTCTCAGGCCCCTCCCCTTTCCTCCATTTTCTTTCTTTATAAAGACCCCATACAGGCAGTCACAGTTTCTGTATGGACTTGATGACCATATCTCTGTATTTAAAAATCCAAAGTGAAAATGGACTTCTTTAATTTAGTTACAAGAAAGTTATTATTTAAACTTTACCAGAAGGAGCCGGGCGTTGGTGACGCACGCCTTTAATCCTAACACTTGGGAGGCAGAAGCAGAGGATCTCTGTGAGTTTGAGACCAGCCTGGTTTACAAGAGCTAGTTCCAGGACAGCCTCCAAAGCCACAGAGAAGCCCTGTCTAGAAAAACCAACCAACCAAACAAACAAAAACAAAAAACTCAATTAGAAGGAAGCGTATAAGATTTGAAAATTAGCATGCTGAATGAAAAGACATCATATGATACTCATGAAACCCTAAAAAGGCAGAAAAACCCAACCAGAAATTTATAAAAATCAAGACAAAAAGGTTAAACTAGGTGTGTAGGTATATGTTCTTAATCCCAGGACTTGGGAGGCAGAGGCAAGTATATCTCTGTGAGTTCTAGGCCATCCTGGTTTGTATAGTGAGCTCCAAGCTAGCCAGAGCTACAAAATGAGACCCTATCTCAAACAAGCAAGCAAAATAAACAAAGAAACAAACAAATGAAGTTAAATCAGTAATAATATTGTTTATTTAATCCCCTCAAAATCTCCCATATCTATTGAGTGGTCACATTCACAAATAGGGTTTCTGTAAGTTTGGCAGAATATCAGGACGGTATGAAGATGCAGGTCTGGTCATCTGTGTGCATGGACTGGGCTCTTGCTCCATTTAGCTGGCTGTCGTGTCAAGATTTCTTAAATACCAACCTAGCCCATAAGAAGAAAAAGGTTATTTCTGTCTTTACATAGCAGAATGCATCATATCATATCCAATCGCATCTGTATGAGAAAACGTACCACCTTTGATGCGCAGAGGATTCAATGCAAAGAGTTTTGCGCTTTAGTGTGTGTGGGAACCACTTTGGTTCCTTGCTGTGACAGTAAGATCAAGAATGACATTGAAAAGGTCAGGCACAGTGGTACTCACTTGTGAGTCTAGAGCTCACAAGGCTGAGGCAGGAGGACTGCTCTGAGCTAACCTGATCTATGCAGCGAGTGTTAACTTAGCCTGGGTTACAGTGCAAGACCCTGCCTCAAAAACCAAAACAATACAAAACAAAAACCAAGAAAAGAAAAAAGGTATGATTTCCCAAAGCCACACCCCTGCAATCCCATGGCAGCTGTCACACAGTGGTTGATGTTTAAGGACCTGTCACCTCAGGGAATGTTAGTGCACTTGCGGTTGTAAGTCAGAAGTTTTTCAGAATCCCCAGGCCACAATGTAGGTAGAATTGTCACTATTTCTATCTACACAGAAATGTTTTCAGTCACTGATAAAAACATTTTACTTTATGTTGCAAATCACATGGTGATATGAGCAGAATCATGTTTGCATTTGTGCCTGATTGCCCTTTGTAGAGTTACAGCAGAGGCTTCCCAGCCTTTGAGCTGACATCTTTATGCTTTGGCCATTAGTGAAATAGACAGCTCCTGACAAAGGCCCTTACATTAGTGACTTTATTTGCAAGGAGAGAATCCTCACAGGGACATAGGTTGAGCCAAAGGGTTTATGAAGTTCCTGTTATTTTACTGTCCTTTTAGCAGGGTGCAGATCGTATTCTCTAGAGGCCACTATGCCTCTCCTAGCAGCAGTGGTTTCAACTGCCCCTGTCTTTTAATGAGTTCTCATCAGCGATAGGGTCTGATGCTGTTTTAAATGTCTGTTAGTCTGATTTATATGAAGTAAGATCTCGTTACAAACTGTAACTTGAATTCTCTAGCCATACCAATCAATTTTGAACTTGAACATCTTTCTTTTTATTCTGTTTATCTGCTTACTTGTTATCAGTTGTGTGAGCACTTGCTAGTATGGATGTCTGCATGTGGGGCACGTGTGTGGAAACCCAAACTGATGATCTTTCCTGCATCTCTCTCCATCTCACGGTTTTTGAGGCATGGTCTCTCACTGAACCCGAAGCTCATCAATTTGGCTGGGCTGGCTAGCCAGTGGGCAGCAGGAATCCACCTGTGTCCTCCAGTGCTGGGCTTACCACCTCTGGCTGTTTTACATGGGTTCTGGGGGTCTGAATGCTATGTGTCAGGCATTTTACCTACTGAGCAATCTCTCCAGCGCCTTCAGATTTTTAGTTCATTTCATCTTGTACAAAATGCCTTTATGTAGGTTTGCTCAACTGTTCTTTAGACATTATGCAATATGTATATGTATATATATATAATGTATATAAATTCTCATTAACACTGATCACTCGTGCAATGTAGAAACCTTGAGAACTTCATGTATATGTTCATATACATAATTAATTCCATAATTAATATTTTGTGGACATTAACACTTCACGGTGTAAGAATTTGTCTTTCTTTTCACTATAGTGTTGGTGGTTAAACTCAGGACCTGATAAACACTAGACAAGTGCTCTATCCCTAAGCTACACCCCAGCCCAATACTTTCAACTTACAGATTTTCCAAGAATTCTATCTTCTACTCTTTGTCTCTACTTATATTTCTCATAGATCATATACAAGGTTTATATAAAACTATATTCTGTAATTACTGAATAAAAACCCTGGGAAAATGTACTTACAAACACATTTCACCATCTTTTAAAACACGTATAAATTAGCAAACTTCCTTGCCTTTTCACTTCTTAAACTTTTATAATTTTGGTTGAACTTTCTTCATGGAAGACAATTGTAAAGTGTGAATCCAAGCATGCCTTGCTTAAGCATAGCTGTAAATGTGTGTAATGTGTGCATTTCAGCAGAAGCCTGTTTCCTCAAGGGTGGCTCTCATCTATGCCTCCATAGTTTGTACGTATTGTGCCCTGTCCCCGGAATGGTTCATATTTTAACCATGATTAAGGCTTAACTGAAATATCACATCCTCTTATAATCTCCCTAAACTTTCTAGATGAATTTTCTGTCATCTGTAGTGTCTTGTAGAATCTTTATCATAGCATGAATTATGGAAATGTTGTAACTGCCTAACAGGATCCCTGCAATGTTCCAAAAACATTTATTTACCCCGTTTCTCCTTAGCCTTATAGACGTACCATTGTTCTTGATAAGTACACACACACACATCTTAGCGGTGGTTGAGTCGTATTTACAGAGAATTAGCTTATAGCTGAACACAGATAAATATTTATAAACGTATACAAGCATGCACGTCCATCTGGATGCATATATGTATATGCATCCTTTTCTCTCTAATACAAGAGGAGTTGTCTGTCTCAGAAGCAGTGTGTCTCTTGTGAATTCACTCACCTCCAGTGGATTATAAATTATCGTTTTCCTTTTCAGTGTTCCTCTGAATTGCTCCCTTTTTTAAATCCAGGAATAGGAAGATATTTAGACAGAGACGTTAGTCCATCAGCATTAAAATCATTGGAGTTTTCTGGAAGGAAGAAGGTAATTACTGGGAATATATGTCAGCCCTGGCCTCAAGTATCTCAGGAGTTCTCTGAACACCTTAAAACTGCCCCACAATTAGGCAGGCGAAGGGTGTGAGCTACGGGCCCAGCACCTGCCCTGATCATTAAATCTGTGTCTGACATAGCAGCAGCAATGGCCCGAAGAAGGAGCTGAGTCCCTCTCAGAAGCTTCCTCCATGGAGCGAGGACATTTCGTCTAGAATGAAAGATAAGCCTGGTCCTGGGGGCGGCAATGGCGTCTCACTGGATGGAGTATGGAAAACTTGAACTCTGAGACTTCAGAAAAAATATAATAAAAATCAAATTCGAGGACGAGTATGACAGGGAGTGAGAGTGGATAAAATTTTGAAGGAAAAGACACAGGTGAGAGGACGCAAAGATGAGCTGAGCGAGCGGATGAAGGCAGGCGCTCGTGTGCAGCACATGCGCAGTAGCGATAACACGTGCTGCGGGCAGGATTCCTGCAGGGGACGATGGAAACGCTCACTTGCTTCGGTGGAGTCTAACTTTTATAGCATCTTTGTGGTTGCCACAACGTCATATCGTAGGCTTTAAGTATACACAGCCAAGTTATTCTTAAGACTAGAAAGGACAGAAAATTTAAATAGTCACCATAACAGTCTTAGAAAATGGATTTCTGTTCCAGGAAAATGAGGTCCAGTGCCTCTGGGTCGGCACACCCCTTTCGGCGATCAGCCTCTGAGGCTAGATAGAGACTTTCCTGTGGCTGCAATTCTTGTTTTCTAAAAATGATTTTCAGCTCACGGCTGCCTTTTTTGACATTTTGGGTGTGAGCGCAGCCATTAACGTCTGAACCATCTCTCCTTTCCTCATTTCTTCCTCCCATGCACCACAAATTTTCTATTACGGGCTTTGAGAACTTTCTCAAGTATTAATGAAAGCAGGACGCGCAGCCTCAATTGCAGGCTCTTGTTTGAAACTCTAGGCTCTAGACGCTTACACAATTGACTGACCTGAGGACTTCAGCAGGTCCAGATCGTCTGCCCTCGAATTCATCTCCTGGTATTGAACTTGGTGTATCGAAATCTCTCCTCTGGAGGAGACTGACAACAGAAGTCCTTGGTTATGGATCAGTAAAAACCAACCCTTCTGCATTTCAGCCTTTCACCAGCAATTTGAACACTCTCAATCTTTACCTAGGTCGTTATTTTCAACCTGCTTGCTTGTATGAGCCAGACAGACCATTGCCTCTCCTGCCATGATGTAACGACCCATTTTCCTACCAAGGAAACCAGCATCCCTGTGTGGTTAACTGGAAGTCCTTTCCGTTTCTCATCTCAGCTATTCCTGTCAGTGGTGTGGTCCTACTGCAACCTTCCATGCATGCTCTTTTCCCCCCTTTCCTCTTAAAATCCATCTATTTATTTTACATCCTGGCTGCAGCACCCCTCCGCGTCCCACTGCCCCATTACCCCCCCCAACATCCAATCTCCTCCTCTTCTGTCTCCATCCCGGAAAGAGCAGGTGCCCCGTGAGTACGAACTAAACGTAGCATATCAAGTGTCAGTAAGACGGAGCACCTCCCCGTGCATTAAGGCAAGGTGACCCAGCATGAGAAGCAGAGCCCCAAAAGCCAGCAAAAGAGTTGGAGACAGCCCCTGCTTCCGCTTTCAGGAGTCCTACAGAGGACCACAACTGTACATACAGCGTGCAGGCCCTTGCCGCGAGGTCTTGCTCAGGTACGACTTGACCACTTCCGTTCCCTCATATGCTACTCTGATGACCAGGCATCCTTGGACCCTCAGACGCAAGGATTTCATAACTTGTCCCTCCCTCTACACTAGCCTGGCAAGCAGCGTCTCTCTTGGATCCTCACTTCAACCACGGCTGTGCCATCCTTTGTACTTCCCTGCACCGGCACACACCCTCTCTCTCTGGAATGTCTTTTGCCCAGTCACCTGAACCGTCATTCGAATCTATCTGAAAGGCTTCTCAGAAGCTTTCCGTGCCCTTTTAATGTCTGATAATCTCTCCCTCCTCTGTTTCTCGTTCACATTATAGAACACTACATTGCCATTTATCTAGAGTCTACTAAACCTGAAGTCCCATTAAACAAAAACATTTTATTATTTTATTATCCCTTTCTTCACTTTTAGATCCTAGCACATTGTTTGATAGAACAATACAATTTCACCTTAAGGTTACTATGGTTAGAGAAAATGAAATAAGAACAAATCTTCATTCTAAATCACGAATTGTGTATTCATTCTAAACTGCCAGTTCTATTAATAATCTAATCCAATTAAACACATAGAATGCAGAACACGTTGTGGTAGCTAGAGCTTTTTTTTCTCCTTCTGAGGAAATTTTGCTCCTTATATTCTGAGGAACTCTTCAAACATCTTATGAGCGCCCGCTTTCTGGTAACTTCACACTTGAGTAATTTGTTTACTTAGTTATAATTGGCCCAGGAACCCCTTAACCCTTTGGCTATGTTAGAGAGATCATAAGTTTGCTCAGACCTGTAAGCCGCTGTATCTGTCTTCGCTTCAGAGTCCACAACAGGAATGCGATGACAAGGACCAACAGAATGGCCCCGCAGATCAAGAGTGCAACGAGGACCGAGTGACCTATGCAGAGGTAAATATTAAGAAATATGATAAATTCTCAGTCACTTTCTTTGCCCATGTACAGGAGCCCCGAAGCAAAACTTCAGCCTCAGAACCCCTTCTGACCCAAAGTCTTCGAAACACGAGGAATTCTAAATAATACAGCCCATGCTTACCTTGCTCTGATTTTGGAGGTGCTCCTGCAGGAGAAAAGAGAAAGAGACTCAATTCTGGGGGCCATGGATAAAGAAAATACCATTATTTCCTTGTATGAGCCTTCACCGTCTCTTAGGCAAGTGAACTGCATTTTCTAAACTAAAGCTTGGGTCTCCCAATCACTCGTCTCTTGCACACAGATATGTAGGTTGTATGTCTGTTCTCTGTGATAGCCACTGTGTAACAGCAAATGTTTTCATCTTTCCTCATATAGAAACACCATGATTGTCTTTCTATCAGATCCCCTTGTTGATAGACGGAACATGAATGCATCACATTTTAATGACTGGCTTGTCTTTGCTACCGAAGGGTCCTGCTCAGTCAAGTTGTTGACACCCACCTGGAAGGCACTGTATGGAAGCATCTTCCTTGTGCCCACAGTCACTGTGACTCCATGGTTTGGCAGGACAATCCCACAGGGAAGTCTCCTTCCCTCTGCACCTCATTTCATTGAGCCATATTGGCCCAGTTCCTGGACCATAGGCTGCTTCTTTTAATGCCTTCACAGCTTGACCACAGCCCAACTGCCGACATGCAACCTTAGCATCATTAAGGTCCCAGGAGTCATCACACACTGTACCCCAGGAGCCTTTGTGCCAGATCTCCACACGTCCTGAACAGTCCGTATGTCCTCCCTGAAGTCTTACTTTGTCTGAAAAAAAAAAAAATCAGAGACATCTGAGTTATCCCTGAGAAGATGAAAGCTTCTGAAAGGCTATAGAGAACAGATATTTGATTGCTTTAAAACTATTTAATGTGTGCTGGTCGAGGTGCAGAAAGTAACAGCTGTACATGAGACATTTACATTATGCCGCTCACTTCCAAGGTTTAGCAACCATCCTCATGGGGAGAGATGGAAAGATTGTAAGGACCGGAGGTTGGGAAAGACGGAGGCAAAACAGTTTCCTGGACATGGCAGGACCACTGCATTCATAGCAGCTGTGGTTGTCTGCAGAAGATCAAGCCAGTCAACATCCCAGCATGGGGCAGGGAGGGCAGGATGAGCCCTCTCTAATAGGAACTAGTGACAGCTGGTGCCTCTTGGAGGCCGGTGAGTCAGTTTTCTTTAGGGATGTGATTCCTGGGAGGTTGCCCATGCTTCAGTAGGTGGCTCTACACCCATGAGTATATGGGCAGCTGATTGAATTCAATGAAAAGAAAAGAAGAGGACATGAAATCAGAAGGGGAGTTAGGATGTTGAATCTGAGAGGAGGAATGGGGGGGGGTAAATGTCATCAAAATGTATTGTATGCATGTATGAAACTCAAAGAATTAATAAAATATATAAAGACAAATGGAAATTTTAAAAGAATAATATGCTAATGATTTTTTAAAATAAAACTATATGTCTTTTTTTTTATCAACCTGGATATATTCCATCAAATGCTTGACGAATGGGACCAAATGAAACAGAGAGAGCTCCTGCACGGCAAAGGACACCGTTACTATGGTGAAAATGCAGCCCACAGCATAGGAGTTGAGGGAGAGAGAGAATATGATCAAAACACATTGTATGAGATTCTCAAGGAATTATTGAAGATATTGTCTACAAAGAATCATTGTGCGACTCAAGAAACTGCAAGTGAATGAAGTCAACATTATTAATGTGGAAAGTTAAAATTTCTCACATGGACAAAAGTGATGTGGACAGAAATATCAGTCTCACAGCTTGAGAAGATGCATAATAAAAATAGCTCAGGATCAGCCATTCTGAGTTTCTTTTCCAATATCGATGTAGCAAGATAATATTTGGAAGCAACGTGGGGAAAGGAAAGTAGGCCTGTCAACAGTCCAGTCATTAATTACGTATTCTCTTCTTCTTGGTCTTCTTAGAAAAAGCGATCAAACAGAACTTTCAAGTACACAAATGGGAAAGTCTGGAATAATGATCTGCAAGTGTATATATACATGGACAATATAACAATTACATAAAACCAACTATTCCAATCCTAACTATTGTCTGGAAGTTACCCATTCTTGTTTAATGAGACCTTACAAATCAATCCAGGTTGTGAACAGGGAAATAAAAATTTCATGTTTCCTCAGAAGGCGACAGTGGAGTGGTAGAACAGAAATTCCCTATTGACAATGGGTACTCACTGTCACAGACGATCCAGGACTCCTCTGAAGGGCTGGCCTGCCTCTGCTTCCATGGAGAGGAGGGGCACTGCCATAAGGTGTCAACTCCTTTTGGACACTGTACATTATCTATCCACATGAGCCTGGATGGAGTCTTGTCTGCAGATGTTGGTTTCAAGGTCCCGCTGTCTGCACAGCCCAGTTGGCGGCACACCACCCCCACAGTGGTTGAAGACATATTGCTGCTGCCAACACTTCCCCATGTACCATTGTAAAACACTTCCAGGTGACCTGTACAGTTCTCCCTAGGGACATCATTGGTCAGCCTCAGAGACATGAACTCTGGAGGAAAAGAAGAATTGGTGCTTTCACAACTTCTCTGAGGAAAAAAACACCCTTTTCTCTAATGTAAGAATGGCTGTAACAGATACAAGGTGTCAACTCCTAGTAATTTGTTGGTAACCTCTGAACAAACCAGTAGATCTTAGTAAAATACAGTAGGAGTCTCCAGAGACAATCCGCCTTTTTAATCTGGAGTTTTGTGCTCAGGTATATCTTATGAAGAGCGCCAGTGCCCTGAGATGCTTATGAGATTCAAAACCTCCCCGAAGCTCTTGTCAGTTAGAGAATTTGGATTTTTTTCTTCCCAAATTACTGTAATTTTAACCCAGGAAGTCTTATTCAATTCTTGTTTGTTTTGTTGGTTTGTTGGTTTATGTGCAATAGTGTTTTGCTATGGGTGTTGGGTCCCCTGGAACTGGAGTTACAGACAGTTGGGAGCTGCCATGTGGGTGTTAGGAATTGAATTTGAATCTCTTGGAAGAAGAGTCAGTGCTCCCAACCACTGAGCCATCTCTCCAGCCCCTCTTGTTTGTTTGTAATAGACACATAAACTATTTTAGGAATATGGTGGGAAGTCTCAGAGCCTGCACATTCCATCTAATGCTCAAGTCAGGGCTTAGGCGCACGCATCATCTCAAAACCCTTGGTGTGGGTATGGGGTTTGAGACATCTTTGATACTTAACATTTAGTGAGATGCAGGTGCTAAAGCCCACACTGTATGTACATTATCTTAAGAGGAAGTCTTTCCTTTTTTGGCACATGACTTTGTTACAGATGCCTGCTAGCAGATCTATGTCAGTAAATAGGGATCAGTTGCTTCTGATGTAGAATTGTTTCATTACTTTTATTATTTTACTATTATTTTCCTCAACTGCAACTGGGGGCACTTTTCTGGTTCATAAAAATCTCTGAAGCTTATTATGTGTACAAAGTGGGAGCAATGGCTTCTTTATGGTAATATTTGCCCCCTTGGCAAATAAAACTCATGTATCTGCTTTTAAAATTTATTTAAATATAACAATTATCTCTTTTCTTTGAAATATTATGTAGAATTCTTTTTGTTCTTTTTAGTCTGCCTTATTCATATTATAACTTTTGAGGGAGTCATCGACTCCAAAATCCAGCTCTAACGTATTTATCAAAGCACTTCACTGTTAGCATTTTTGTGACATTCAGACCTGTTTCTGTATTTTGCTCTTTACTGTATACTAGCCAGCACGTGAGGTTGTAACCGCATGTCAAGCAAATGCTTTGAGGCTCCTGACTTTGGACATCACAGCCTGCTCTGGGTATATTTCAGGTTGATACCCGCTACCATTTGCTCCTTAGTGTTTTTAAATTCAAATGTGACCAGGAGCTCTTCGCAGAACTTACCAGAGCAAATGACACCGGCGTCCTCCTTGTGCCTGCAGTTATGGCGTCCCCAGCCGTGTGAGCGGCACTGCCAAATTTGAGACTCTTTCCCACTGCAGTTGATCTCGTCTAGCCAGATATTCCCTGTCCCTTCCTTAAAGTAAGCAGAACCAGTGGCATTAATAGCCACACCACAGTCCAGCTGCTTGCACACCACACTGGCATCAATCAGATCCCAGCTGTCATCACAGATGGTGCCCCAGACGCCCTCATGATAGACTTCTACTCTCCCAGCACAGCGACTACCTCCATCTACCAAACGAACTTGACCGCTTGCTGGAAAGAGAAATGAAGACAACAAATAAGGGCGTTTTAAAGGCGTCAGACCATTTTCATAGATCGATCACAAGTTCTTACCTATGCAGGGAACATCGCTTTGGTTTGGAATGGTAGAGCTTGTTGTTTGGACCGAAGATGACGAACTACACGGCTGCAGTATCTGGGATTGGTTTCCTGAAAACACCAAAATTTTCAGGCATATAAGATCAAAAGGTTATGGTGACGAATGTGGGTGGGATGGAGAATCCTACAGACGACTTGAAGATGAGCATAGCGTTAGAAAGAGGGAGGAAGGTGGACCGGTCACAGAGAAAGGGGGGGATTGATGGACACCTGGAAGTGAAGAAAGGTATTTTGGGAAACTTAGGATACAGTAAGCCAGTGGTTCTCAACCTGTGGATCACGACCCCTCCAGGGGCGGGGGGGGGGTCGGGTCACATATCAGATATCCCGCATATCAGAAATTTACATTATAATTCATAACAGTAGCAAAGTTATAGTTATGAAGTAGCAATGCAATAATTTTGTGGTTAGGAGGTCACTGTAACATGAGGAACTGTATTAAAGGGTTGTATTATCAGGAAGATTGAGAACCACCGCAGTAAGCACTAGACAGCACACAGGCTGATGAAAATGAGGTTCACTTATATTCCAATAAGACCAGTGCAGTTACTAGTCTAGCTCACGTCTCATGAACCCCCAGACAGACCATTTCCCTTCCTTTTGCTTCATCCTCACCCCAGGCCCATCTGATTCTAGAGCACATCACCGAGCACAGGCTCGTGACCGGCCCCGCCCTTCACCCTCTCACCTGAGCATATTACCGAAGCCACTTGCCCTTCAGAACACACCGGTGCACCCAGCGCAGTCACGAGGCAATCCCCCATGTGCTGCTCAGTCCCTGTGCAATGGAACATGTGTCTCCAGACCTGGCCAGCTCCTTTCCCAAAGTGTGCTCCCCCTGGGGTGGACAGAGCAACTCCACATTTCAGCTGCTGGCATAAGACATGGGCATCTTCAATGTCCCAGTGAGAGTTGCAGAGGGGCCCCCAGGCTCCGAGCACCTTGATCTCCACTCTTCCCTCGCAGGAGGACTTGCCACCTGCCAGGCGGATTTCTGTGTATCCTGAAAGGAGACTGGGCTTTAGAAAAGATATTTGTGACTCCTCAACCCTCTCTCCTTCACAGAACAGGAGCTACTTGAAGACATTTCCTGCATCTTACGTGAGCAGACTATGCTGACATCCCTGCTGTGGCTGCAACTTTCTTCCAGAGGGGGAGCCACTGAGCACAGTGAAAGATGGGACTCATTCCCCGTGCACTGAAATTCTTCAGTCCAGATCTGTCCACTTCCTTCTCCGAAATGTGCTCCCCCTAGGATGGAGATGACTGTTCCACATTGTAATTCCCGGCACACCACACTGGCAGCTTCCAGAGATAAGCCGAAATCACAGACAGAGCCCCACACGTCGCCGTGTTTCACTTCCACACGCCCGGAGCATGGAATTTCCCCTCCAACCAATCTGGGTTCCCTGTGACCTGAAAAATAACAGTGTTTCTGTGAGAGGTACAATTTCCACATTTTCACCCCTGGTGGGATTAGGTGCATTGTGGGTTCTCAGCGATTTTCCACACGGCGCCTCCTGGATTTTCTGTCTAGACCGAGCATAGCAAATTGAGGATCTCACATTTCTCAATGTACCTGTCCTCTAAGAAAACTCTAGAGCTTTGATTTTTGAAGGAAATCAAGATCAGAACCTCCCTTTTCTTCTAGTATGTCACTTGCATTCATTCATGACACACAGTTTGTTCACTGACTGTCGGTCAGCCCACCACTGCAGCTGCAGGCTGAAGTCTATGCCAACCTTATCAACAACTGCCTGTAGGTTTTCAGTGTATTTCCATTTTGAACACTGAACACCAGAAGTTTAAGGGAATACACTGCACTTGCTGTCTGGGACTCTCCATCATCTTCCCATTCCTTTCTGACAGGGCCTCATGGACAGATTGTCCGTGCTCTGCCTCTCACCACACAACACTGCGTTTTGTCTGCTCCGCCAGCAGGAAGGGCAGCGCTACATGAGGCTCTCAAACCTTGTGCCTCCAGGACCAAGAGAAAAAACAAACCTGCATGTCACTTAGTGTGGCTGGGCTTCAGAGTGTAAACAAAAGATGACAAGTAACAAGAAATGGAACTCAGATTGGGATGTGCCCCTTGTCAGGTCAAGAGAATTGACCGCCAAGACAAGCAACGGTTTCCTTGAACACCCAGGAACCATTCAGCTTCTTGAATATGCAAAGCTACTCCAAATTCGCTTCTTTTAAAAAGCACATCTGAGGGTGAGCCTTCTAAAGAGCACAAGTCCTTCACAGATGTCTGTGTGAATCTCTGATGCTGCCTGTGGCATGGTACAGACGGACAGACAGACAGCCCTTCAGCCGTTGCAGTGTTCATACTCTCTACATTCTTTTTGGGTCATATGTCTTTTACTTTATACTAAAATGTCTCTGACAACATGCCAGGTAAGACTGTTTTGTGAGTTAGAAACACAAATAGAATGGCTAGCACGCCAAAATTTCACCATTAAAGTGAATTCCTATTCAAATGTGAGACAAAGAACCCATCCATTTCTAAGTGCAGATCAAGTTTAAAGAAAATGATGCTGTACACAAACAATCAATGATTTTTGAATTGGAAAGTCCAGAACTTCTTGTTGCATTGAGAAGACATCATTGGCTACTGTGTACTTGGTCGTCTTGGACAGCCCTTAATCTTTAAGACAAGGCAGTTTCTAAGATCAAGCCAAACTAGGTTTTGTAGTGGCGTCTTGTTTAGCCAGTGGACTTGTGATGGTGACTGCATCCTAGGCTTCAGGTGTGTAGACTTGACCTCTTATAAGGAAGAGGAGGGGTTGGCTTGCTCTCTTGGGCAGTAGTCAGAACTCCAGAAGGGCAGAGATTACATCTTCAGGAGCAGGAAGACCACGGCAGTTATTCACTATTGATTGTGTAAGTGTTTCTCTAATAAATGCCTCTTAATCATTTATCTGGGACCGTTTGGACTCATTTAAACCCTGCCTTCAAGGTTTCTTGTAGCTTTTGGATTATTCATGTGTAGCCATTTCAAATGAAATAAACACAACCAGAGAAAAGCAAAACCAATCCAAAAGTACTTTATTTTTTGATGAAAACATATTATTGATGATAACAAAACCTTTCTGTACACGATTCCTCTGTTCCCCAACCCTAAAACATTTGAATCTAAGTCCAAAGGGAAACTCTTCCACACAAATAAGGTACTTGGGGACTCCATTTTTTCAACCTTGATTTTGTGAATCTGCTAACATGCATCCATCCACACCACAGGTGCTTTCTTTATACATAGTCAAAATACTGGGGACTTCATCCCGACAAATGTATGACTCTATTGACCTTTATATAAGAGTCATTAAATAAAATTGCACCCATGGGTTTGGTTCTTTTGGTTAACAAGTTTTCATCTGCCAAAGTAACTAAACCAGCATTTATTCTTTCTATTAAAAAAGGGAATGAAGGGCTGGGCGTTGGTGGCTCATGCCTTTAATCCCAGCACTCGGGAGGCAGAGGCAGGTGGATCTCTGTGAATTCGAGACCAGCCTGGTCTACAAGAGCTAGTTCCAGGACAACCTCCAAAGTCAGAGAGAAACCCTGTCTCAAAAACAAAACGAAACAAAACAGCAACAACAAAAAAGGAATAAAGAATACGTGTAAGAACGAGTCAGTTAGGACTTCCTCCTTTTGTTCATTAACGAAGTATATGATATACATGAAGAAGGATAAATAACTGTCATTTGAAACACTCTGAAAGTCTTGTCCCTCAGCTGAGTTGATCATAAAATGCAGCCAAATCAGAAGATGAAATTGGTTCTCCATAACAGAAGCAGCAAGCCTACCATAGCCTTCTGGTCGTTTGCTTTCACTCAGCCTTAAGGTTTCAGATGGCCTTAAGTCAGGGACCAGCAATGGACAGGCAGAGGCTAGCATCAGTGCCAGTCAGTGTTTGTAAATGTGCCTTTTGACAATGGACTAAGGCAGCTAGACTAGAAGCCTGTGAAGTTTGGGTAGCATTCTCTTGCTAACTTTGAGGATAGCTGCTATAAGCCTCAAGTGCTGAGGTTACAAGTGTGCACTGTGGCACCCTGCTTTTTAATGTGTGCTGTCAATCTGAACTCAGGTCCTTATGAGTGTGTGCTAAGTGCTTTATCTACTAAGCCATCTCCCCAGACCCCCTCCATACATTTTCAGTTGAAGGATAATTCATACTCTGTCAATATATTACATATGCGTAATACAGACACACAAAGATATATGCCAAATGCATTATTCCTTTCAAAAAATAGTGCAATCAGATTTATTTTTAAAATAAATCCCAGTTCTGTGATTAGTACAAGCAATGCACCTTCACACCCTGATTCAAAAGGTTGAAAAAAGCATAAAAAGTAGGCCATCGCTGGACAATGGTAGTGTATGCCTCTAAGTCTTACCTGAGCAGGTAACTTGGGCTTCTTCAAAGTGGTCACAGGAGAGGCCACCCCACTGCCAGTTTCTGCATTGCCAAAGAGAAGTTTCATTTCCACTACAAGAGCCAGGAAAGAGCCATGTATCTGTTGCCATACTTTTGGAGTAGATTTTAGAACTTGTCTGAAGAGCAGATCCACATCCAAGCTGTCTACAGACCACGTCAGCATCTACCAGGGTCCAGCCTCGGCTACATATGTTTCCTTTCAGCTTCTGAATCTCTACCTCCACAGTCCCAGAGCAGCGACTGCCTCCACCTACAAGTCTCAGCTCCAGATCCGATCCATCTGCAGAAGAAGCATAAGCAAGGCTGAAGGGCCCTGGGGAAACACACCAGCCTCCCTCCTTTCCAGATATCAAGACACTGGAAACTATGACTTACCTACAAAAAAAAAAGTGTTTGTTTGCTTACTTCTTGGATCACAGAGGCTTAACGTAGCCCCTTACATAAAGTGGGCAGGGGTTGTATGCCTGATGCCTCTTTATACTTTTGCTTTATCTTTGGAGTTGGAGTCTCAGTAAGTAGCCCAAAATGTGTTTGAATTTGCCATCCTCTGCCCTAGCCTCTCCCCCTAGTGGTTTTGATTACAGGCATGTGCCACCATACCCAATTTTGGATTACTTATTTCCTGAGGCTTTAATAAACAAACGTAGACTGTGAATTCTATTGCAAATGGTACATAGTTCTAAAGACTAAAAATGCTAAACACACACACACACACACACACACACACACACACACACACGTGCGTGTTCACGCCCGTTCATCACAGTCCCTTAAAATGCTAACTCTCTGAGCTTCACACAGATTTAGAATTTAAGGAGTGGTTCTAAATAGTACTCCTAGTAAAACAGAAAATGGAGCCAAGCATCCATCCTATGAAGAATGTGTGAGATTCTTCTCAGCTGTGAGGGAATTCCCATCAATGAATTAATTACATCCACTACTCACAACTTACACTAAACCTATTTCTAACGAATACAGGTTCTTCCCTCTTCTATTTGCCTTTTAACTTACCAGAACATGTCACACCAGCATCTTCTCTGTGGTTACAGTAATGCTTTCCCCATTCCTGGTGCTTACAGTCCCAAAGAGCTGCTTCATCTCCTTTGCAGGAAACATTGTCAAGCCAAATTTGTCCAGATCCCTCACTGGTATTAACTCGGCCAATGAGAGAGATAGCAGCTGGGCATCCCAGTTGTTTACACACCACAGAAGCGTCAAGAGCGTCCCAGCTATCATCACACACAGTCCCCCATTCGTCTTGGAATCTCACTTCCAATCTTCCTGAACATTTGGACCCTCCATCGGCCAGTCTCAGGCTCAGATCTGCTCCCTCTATAACAACAACAAACAAGTCAGTGAAAGGGAAATAAGGATAACGCGATTACAAGTAGCTCCAGCTGAGTTAAAGAAATGAGACGTGGATAGAGGCAGTCGCTCTACCGCACCATTCTACAGCTAGGAGAAGTGCACAAGGCAAGGACTTTTTAGCACACAGTACTTACTTTGGGAAGGGTCTTGGAGATTTGTTCAGAGTCAGTTTTGTGCCTGTACGGTCACTACAACTGATGTTACAATTGTTTACTCTATCTTGTTAAAATATATCTGCCTGTGTTAAGGTTTTTCACCTGGTACTCCAGTTTGTGTAAACATTCGGCATCTGCGTTCGCTGTTATCCATACTGTCTGTCTCCATTACCTTGCTTGTACAGTGCACCGTACCCTTTTGTGAGTACCTGTGGTGGTCTGAGTGAGACTGTTCCCCTCAGGTTCAGATGTCTGAACACTTGGCTCCCAGTTAGTGGCACTGTTTGGGAGGCTTAAGAGGTGTGGTCTTTCTGGAGGGAAGTGTGCCACTTGGGGAAGGTTTGGGGTCTTAAAAGCATTGCGCCACTTCTGCGCATGCTCGCACTTTAAGATGTGGGTGCTCAGCTTGCTGCTCCAGCCACCAAGTCTGCCCCTTGTCATGCCTCCCCACTGGGATGGACCCTTAAGCGCAAATAAACCGTTCCTTCTATAAGTTGCCTTGATCAAGGTGCTTTACCACAGCAACAGAAAAGTAACTAACAGGGTACTTCTTAGCTAAAGGGCATAGAAGTATGGGAAAGGCCTGATCTGCTCCTCCCACAGTTAGCGCCCCTTAAAGAACCATCCTTAATTCTGCCATGTTGGCACTTTTATTTTTATGGTGGAGTTCTAGGGATTTGAGCTAATGGTTTGGGAAGGAGCAGGTTGAGGTGGCTGAAAACGATGATGAGCAGGGTAGTTTGTTTCTAAACCAACCTCAGAAAGACGAATGGTGAGTGCTATTTCAGTTGTGGTTCATAGATTTTTTTTACAAAGATACATAAAATTATGTATTTGGATATTTCTATATTTGTATCTCTATCATCTCTCTGTCTCTATCATCTATCTATCTACCTATCTATCCATCATCTATCTATCTCTCCATTCAACCTACTTACCTAGAAATGACATAAGAGTTGAAATAAAACAGTCTAAAAGGGCAGAGAGTACTAACAGTAGGGAGAGCGACAAGGAAAGGATAAGGGGCTATGAGGGGGGAGTGTGCTCAGCATATAATATTCGCATGCAAAAAAACCTTTAAAAATTCACGGCTAGCTCCTCTGCCCCTTCCCTCTTCACCCCTTCCCTCTTCACCCCTTCCACCTCAGCACCCCTGCCTCTCTTCACCCCATTTTCCACCCTGTCAAGATTTTCTCTTTCTTTCTTTTCTTTCTTTCTTTCTTTCTTTCTTTCTTTCTTTCTTTCTTCCTTCCTTCCTTTCTTTCTTTCTTCCTTTTTTTTGTTTGTTTTTGTTTTTCAAGACAGGGTTTCTCTGTGTAGCTTTGGAGCCTATCCTAGCACTTGCTCTGTAGACCAGGCTGGCTTCGAACTCACAGAGATGCCTCTGCCTCCCGAGTGCTGGGATTAAAGGCCAGCGCCACCAATGCCGGGCTCAAGATTTTCTTAAACAATCTCTTATGATGGAACTAAATTTCATTATCATTTTTCCTGCATCTATTTTAATTGTTTATTTATTTTGATTTTTTACATGTATATGTGTATGCCTGAGCATATGGATACGCACCCAGTGTATGCAGTACCCAAAGAGATCAGGGGAAGGGACCAGATCTTGTGGAACTGGAGTGACAGGCAGTTGAGAGTCATCGTATGTGTGCTGAGAACTGAGCCCCAGTCCTCTGCAGGAACAGTAAGGACTCTCTTAATCAACAAGCAATCTCTTCAGCACCTCTCTGGCCCCCTACTATTTCAATGTCCTGATTTCAGTTCATGAATTCACAACTGTTAGAGCTGGGACACCAAATGAGACAGTAATGGCGTGATGGAGGCTGACTGGGCTTCATTGTGTTCTCAAGGACTCAGACTTACAATCCCAGTACCTTTTGTCTGCCACAGAGAACAAGAAACCTGGGATTGTCCTTACCTAAGCAGATCACCCCAACATCCTCAGCATGATCACAGTTATGCTTTCCCCATGCTCCGTGTTTGCAGTCCCAGAGAGCTGACTCATTTCCATCGCATACCAGATCATCAAGCCAGATTGGGCCAGAACCGGCTCCAAATTTAGCTGAGCCAGAGAAACTAATGGCACTTCCACATCCCAGTTGTTTGCAAATCACAGTAGCATGATCTTTGCTGAAGTTGTCATCACACACGGTTCCCCACTTTCCCTGGAACTTCACTTCTACTCTTCCTAAACACCGGTTGGGCCGATCGTTCACCAGTTTCATCTCCAAATTGGATCCGTCTAGAGACAAGACCAAAGTTAAAAAGAAAAGTCCTTTCGTAAGCAATTAATCATTTAGGGTTTCCTGGATACTTGGAATTTGATGCCATTCTTAAAAAAAAAAATAGTGTTTGGCTTTTAGATACTGCTCATTTCCAAATATTGGAGAATTTTAATCTGCTAAAATCCAATGAAAAATAAGGATTTTCCTCTACATATACTTTCCAAGGAAATCATAATATAGGTCAAAATGCTCTTTGGTATAGAAAAGATCAATATGACTCATTATTCACACACACACACACACACACACACACACACACACACACACACAGAGAGAGAGAGAGAGAGAGAGAGAGAGATAGGAGAGAGAGAGAGCAGTTGTTGAAAATGAGAAAATGGTCATTTACTAAATGCTTAGATTCCTTATTTTAACCCCTCCAAAGTAAAAGAGTTCTGACAATGAATAATTGATGCTGAATTTGAAATTGGAAAATAAGGAAAAGCAAAGATTAAAATGCCCAAATAAACACAACAGTTTGTAAAACATTGTGTTTAAAATTATAGGAAAATTATTTCAATTTTATGAATCAAAGTTTTTTTTTTCTCCTAGAGGCATTTACTATCATTTTCAGCAAAAACCAGGAGGTTTTATCTTTGTTTTTTTTACAATGAAATTTGTTTCTCATGCCATGAGTTTTCATGAGGAGTAAAATACACGAAGAAGGGAGACTTTGGTTGAAATCTGGGGACACTGGAGAAGTTGCAATTCAACAAAATGTTTAGCAGCACTTTCTTAAACAAGAAATTAAATTTTATGAGCTAGAGGCTCCAACCAAAGTCCCCAACTTAGCAAGACTTGTTTTCATTATGGGCAATCAGTAATAATAATTAATAAGAATAAGAGGCCACAATTAAAGTGTACATAAGTGCATCACACACCATAGTCTTCAGTCCTTACACATTTAAACACTACATGCTATCATCATTAGCCCATTTCATGGATCAGCGACTTGAGCCTCAGTAGCTGGACATACCACTGATCACCTAGAAAAACTATGAAGCCAAGATGTGAGTATCACAGAGGTTGGAGGAGTGGCCTGTCACCAGTTTTCTGTTGAATAGTGTGCCACCATCTCCCTAGAGGTGGACTCTGCAGACTAAGCAGGAATTAAGGGTGAAGGATCTCACACATACAGAGAGCAGATCGCTCTGAAACCAGCGAGTCCTTGTGTGTCTATTGGTTCCTTTTCTCTTATTAGATTCGGGTTGCACCTTTAAGTTTATAAACTTCGAAAAACAAGTTTAATTTCACTCTTCATTATGTAAGAAAATAAGAGCAGAGGGTACTACACTGAAGCCATAGCTGAATATCAGCTCTTTATGCAGGTAAGAGCCTTGAAAGATTTCTTATGGTTTTGAAATTTGTTGTAAATGCTATTTTTGTTTTACCATCATGAAAATTAATAATTAAAAAATGAGGAGGAGTAAGAGATGAAGAAGGCTGAGTCAGCGTGGTAATGAAAGATGGGGGTCCATGAAGAAACTAACATTTTTAGCACTTACTATATACCAGTGTGCAAAGAGCTCTGCAAGTGTCTTATTATTGAGTTATCAGATGCTTAGAAAGATTAAATACTTTGCATGAAATCACTGCATCAGTGAATGGTTGTGTGAGAATTCGATGCAACATTTTTTTTTTTTCCAAGACGGACAGTGTAAACGGAGTCAGAAATATGTGTGTGGGATTTGTTTTGACATAGGTGAGCCTTACCTGAGCAGGTCACTCCAACATCTTGCTCGTGGGTACAGTTATGCTTTCCCCACCCCTCATGTTTGCAGTCCCAAAGAGCTGACTCATTCCCTGTACAAGAAACCTTATCCATCCAGATGTCTCCAGAGCCTGCACTGGAGTTAGGCCATCCTAGGGCTTGAATAGAAGTTGGGCATCCTAGTTGCCGGCACACCACAGACACCTCATTCATGCTCCAGTTGTTCTGGCACACCGTTCCCCACTTCTCATGGATCTTAACTTCCACTCTGCCACTACAGTTGTTTTCACCACCAGCTAGTCTCAGTTCCTTTTTCAATCCTCCTGCAACAACAATTCAACACAGCAAATGATGGTCAAAAAAGAGTTCAGAGAGCAGGATAAGTTTTTAGATTGCTTACATATGATTTAGAGTAGAGACTCATCCTGAGCCTGCTGTGGTACGATAGGAGAATGCTATTTCATAGTGTCCAGGTAGAATTATTAGTACCATAAGGCTTCAAGCAGAACAATGGCAAAACTGGGAGAGCTAACGGTGCAGTGATATCTGGGATTTTCATTGTGCGGCTGGGTAACTTAACAGTGGTGATTTATACCTTCTAAACTAAGATGCACAGTGTGTTAGAAGATGAACTACATGTGTTTCTTCCTATCGTAAACTCAATAGAAGCTGGGCGTTGGTGGCTCATGCCTTTAATCCCAGCACTTGGGAGGCAGAGGCAGGCGGATCTTTGTAAGTTCGAGACCAGTCTGGTTTCCAGAGTGAGTGCCAGGATAGGCTCCAAAGCTACACAGAGAAACCCTGGCCCAAAGCTGGGCATTGTTAGCACACGCCTTTAATCCCAGCCCTCGGGAGGCAGAGGCAGGTGGATCTCTGTGAGTTCGAGGGCCCACCTGGTCTCCAGAGCTAGGGCCAGGATAGGCTCCAAAGCGACACAGAGAAACAGTCTCGGAAAAAAAAAAAAAAAGAAAGAAATAAGATTGATAGTGACCATGTGGGAATGGGGAAAACAAGCTGAAGGGAATTAAATTTCACCCATTTCACACATTTATATAAAATTTTACAAAGTAGTTGAAATCTATTAAAAACTAGTTTTTTTGAAACAGAAATCTAGAGAATTGTTTTCCTTTCTCTCTTCCTTGCTTTCTTAGATTACCTCTGATGCTTTTTTTTTTTTTTTTTTTTTTTTTTTCTGTTACTTTGGCTTTACTGAAGAACCCAGCCTGACTTCCTGCAATACATTTTTAAATGTTAAAATTTAAGTTTTGAATTTATTAAAGTGTTTTCAGAATTCCCTTTTCCTACTAACTTTGTGCTTTCTTCTCTTCTCTTTCCACACACTGCTTTCAATCTTTTTGTAACATGGGATTGTTTTGTGTGAAGGAAGACCATGCTAATAATTTGCTGTCTTTTACTTAGAATATTATTTTCTGCTTTTAATATCTGGTTCCTAACTCCACAGAGCATGGGTTTTTAGGTGCTACTTAACATACAGGGAACTGTGTTTTTTGTTTGACAGTTCCTATCAGAGTGGCCTAAGGCCATAAGTAAATTCAATGATATACTCACCAGAAGAATTAGTGACAGCAGAGACACTGAGAAGAGACACTGAGACTACAGCCATAATGAAGGAACATAAACGGACAAATCCTTTAGAACCTATGAAACAAAGGACAGAAGTGAAACTTTTTAATGAGAGATTTTAGAGAGGTTCAGGGTTTGGGGTCTGATGAAGACCAAACTGATAAGAAAAAAACCCTTCCTTCAAAGGGCTGGCAAACAGGAAAGATACAGACCCAGAACTTATATGCAGCCTAGGAGTGGGGATTTATGAGAACACTGGGTGTGGAAGCAAATTTTAGATCTGCAGGTCTTAAAGCTGCCTAGCTAAAAGGAGCATCAATGAAACTAGATGTGGAGGTGGTTTCTGAACTTTCTGTCTTCTACCTTCTCAGCATCCATTACTCACACCTCCATCTCTGTGTCTACTTGGTCCACACAGTTAGACAGTAAGTTTCATGAGAGAATGGATGATATTTCTCATGTCACGATTATTCCACCAACTATACTTGTTAAATAGCATTCTCAACAATGTGACAGATAGTCTACTTTGCACTCCAAATAACCCAAAAGTCAACCTTCTCATCACACACTGCAATTCAACACTCAAGTAAAACTGAGGAAGAATTTTAGCTGGTCCATGAACATCATGAAGTAGAATTTTGCACTGAGTAGGTTCTCCAAACTTTTAATCAGTATCGATTCCTACACGACAAGAGTTCCTGACAACTCTTGTTTTCATACTTAAGGCAGTTCTGCTTACTTCAGATCCTGACTTGATTTTTTACCTCGGCAACTTTATAAAATCAATACAAATACTGCTTTAAAAAATTTAGTTATGGGGTCTATGGCTGATTAGAAGCACTTCCATAGGACCCAAATGCCCCTTTCTATTTCTTGCTCTCCTATGCCAATCACATCAATTTGCTGTCAGAACATCTCTAAACTCCACAAAAGGGTAAATATAAATGAGACACATTTACCAGGAGGTCCAGCATCTTCAAGAAGAACCATTCCAAGCATGCCCATTTCAAAGCTTGATGATTTTGATGGCTCTTAGTCTCTTCGTGCTATTGTATAGAAATGCTCTCCATAGAAAGTGGGTAACCACTGATGGAAATAATCATCTCGTTCTTAAGAACGGAAAGGCTCCAGAATGAGGGAGGAGTCAACCCCAAAGGGGAACTCCTTTTTGCCTTCGCCCTCTTTCCCCCACCCCTGGACATAAAACGACCAAAGGAAAATTTAACACTTTCCATAGATTTACAAAAACTAGAGAGTGTATTCATTCACACTCTTGCTGATGAAATGCTTTAATTAATTGATCAATTAATTTTTACTTATGTTATGTGTGTTTGTCTGCTTGTATGTATGTGTACCACATGTGTGTGTACCCTCAGAGCCCAGGAGAGTACATTGGAGCCCCTGGGCCTGGAGTTATAAAAGGTTGTGAACCACCATGTGGGTGCTAGGAACGGAACTTGGTCCTCTATAAGAGCAGCAAGTACTCTTAACAGTTAAACTTTCTTTCCAGACTCTATTTTTAATTTTTGAACTTTATTTTAATAACATTTATTCAGTGTTGGGGTTCTAGCACAGAGTCTTGAAGATACCAGGCAAGAGTCTTACTATTGAGCTATTCATCCAGCCCTTGAATTGTGTTTTTGACTAATATATTAAACACATACAAAAAATAGTAATGGTGACAGAGCAAAACTATGTGAAACACACACAAAAGATAGTAATTTGTCAGTATTTGTACTTTTGACATTATTTCCAGAGGTGACTATGTCTATTGGGTGGTCATGTGAGTGTAGTACATAGGCAGCCTTTGTACTTCCTGTCTAAAGGATAGAGCACACCAATAGATTGGTCATGAGTAGTAATGGCTCCATAAAGGAAGAGTCAAGGACTTCCAGTGTATCACTCAGACTGGCCTGGGAATCACTATGTATCCCAGGCTGACCTTGAACTTGAAGCAGTACTCCTGCCTCAGCTTCTCCAGTGCTGGGACTACAGGCACATGCCACCATACCCAGTTTCACACTCATTAATTTTGTTTACAAATTTAAATTAGTAGAAGCTGTTGACTTTTACCCTTTTCCAAAAATGTTCCCAATAAAGAACAAGACCAAAGAAGTTGCATGCTTTGCAACCCTTGAGACCATCATGATTGCCATTGGCGATCCTGGCCAATAAGGGATCTAACCTAACTTCTTCCATTACTGTAAACCATTGATCCATTCCCTAAAAGCTTGCCTTCATCGTAAAACCTTATAGAGGTCTATTACATCAAAGATGTTAAAAACATGAATGGCAACCATACAAATCCCCATACATACTAAAGCCAAAGAAAAAGGCCTTGCCAGGACATCTTACATTGGAAATAACCTGTTACATATTTACTAAGAATAGCCCAAGCTGGATCTTTAGAAGATAGATTCAGTAGAACTTTCATGTCCCATGATAGTTTCTACATAAAGGTTGAGCTGAATGCAGCTCTCCTACACCTTTTTGAATTCCAGTACAACAAACAAGTCTCTAGAACTCACCATCGTGTCTTAGGCCTTAAGCAGCTCTTTACACATTTTCAGCCTTATATCTTATCCCATAAAGCCGGTGACCATGTGGAGGCTACACTCCTCTGAGACTGATTGACCGCAGTTGCTCTCCAGAACACCTCAACTGATTTTTTTGATATACATCCTTTTTAAACATAAACTACTCCAAGCAGTCATGCATATCTCTACCCCATTCTGATGACAATTGCAGCGGATTTGTGGCTTTTGTTGGTTTATGATATAGAGCCCCACCTCAGTTTAAGAAGTTCCCCTCTTTAAAGTGATACCCTAGACTCAGAACTTAACAGGCATCAATCACACTGGTACCAAATGTCACTATGGGGTGATGACAATTCCTTATGCAACATCACCCTAGCCAAAGACACTGTCCTTGAAAATGCTTTGCCTTCTTTGTCAGAGATGACTTTACTCAGACACTAAAGCTGTCATTCATAGACAATCTCTCCTAACATACATATTGAATACAAAATATCCCATCCATCCTCTGATAATGTGATTCTACTACATTTTGTAATCCTATTTGTTTTATTTCCTGGGCATACTTCTTATTCTCTGAAAAAACACACACCTTATGTTGTCATGCTTAAAGATGAGTCTGGTAGAGTTTACTAAAATTAATGGAGATTATGGGTGTCCAGGGGTTCTTCTCCTCACATCAGTCAGGACTGTGAGTTCTTAGAGAAAGAAGCCTATCCTTCAGTCTCATGCTGGTGTAGTTTCTCTTCAGCCATGAGCTGACTTTGGTCAAATATACCACGTCCTTATAATGAGTACATTCTTCACCAAACAATGGCCAAATCTACACGTCCACAAGCAATTCATACACTTTTCCTTATTGCCTCCTCTGCTTGCTTACTCTGCTGAAGGCACACCCCAGCTCACACTTCTCATATTAAGGTTTTGCATAGTTGGCACCCCACCAGGGACTTGTCAATTTGTGTCAATCCAAGGACTCTGGGAAAGCAAACACTATTTAATCATATCAGTAGGGCTCCCCAGAGCCCTGGAAGTCAGCAGCATTTTCATAGGCTTTGTTCTGCTGAAAGCACAACTACCAACCAGCACCCAGGGGCCCTTTCAGATAGTGTTCAAAGGCTGAGTGATGTGCTACTTTTAATGCAACAAGCACACAATTAATCCAAATGGTAAAGGGTAACATTGATCCTTGCTTCTTTACTAGCAATAGAAATATGGGTTTATGTTTTACAGTGTACTTAATACTGTGAGTATATTAAGCTGAACAAACATAGGAATAGCTATGAGACAAGTTCAACAACAAAGATTCTTGTAAATTACAATCTTCCAACAGAGTCTCTCAAATTCAGAGGTAGCTCACCTATCCTTATGTCTGCTGCTGACAGAATGGGGTACTTGGTTGAAAAACAGGTCTGAACACTCAATGTATGCCTAGTAAGGCTCTTTTTCTCATTACCACTGTCAAAGTTGGCCTCAAATGGCCAAACCAAGATGCCTTGACCACTGGCCAAACCATGTAACAAACTTTGTCCGTCTCAATTAGTATTGTTGATGTTGAGGCACTGAACGTTTGCTAATGTTTTCTTTTTCTTGACACATTGATTCCCTGCCTGAAATCACAGCACAGTAAGCAGACACAGTGAAACCCCTAGGTAAGCTGGTATCAAGACTAGTCAAAGCAGTGAGGTCAAGACATTCTACCTCAAGGTGGAGAGTAATTGAGAAAGACACTCAGCACCAGCCTCAGGTGTCCGCATGCATACGAACCCATGCACATGTACACCTCCACACACATGTACCCATGCAATACACATATATAAAAAAAGTAAAAAAAATAAATAAATTCAATGAAAAGGAAGAAAGAAATAACCAGAGAAGAGTGTCTTCAGCAGAATGTCAGGGCAGGAACACTCTGGTTTCTCCTAGGTCCATAGAAATGTGCCCTGAATCTGAACAGAGGCAAGTTACCACCATAAATACCTCATAAGTTTGGATGCAAATTTTGATGCTCCTTCAGCCAGCAAGAGGAATGATTCGGTTGATTCATTCCACAAGCCATGTGGAGCTATCTGGAGAATGTCCCTGAATCCATTGTTTCTATAGTGGCTCCCCCATCATCATTCTTTGATACTTCTTAGCTGATTTGTTCTGACATTTTCAGTAAATACTGCAAATATGGCTACCAGGGATCAATTACAAATAAAGAATGCATATGAGGCTCACAGCAACTAATTTGCAAACCTTGATGTCAGCTACAGTGTCCCGAGCTAAGGGCCTGCCATGGTGCTTTGTTGAATGCAGTGGTCACAGATAGTCTGCTTAGGATTTGAGACAGGTTTTCTGTAGAAGGATGGTTACAGAAAAAGTCAGGCTGCCCAATATGGAATAAATACCTACATGTTTCATGTTCAAATGTCCTTATATGGCCCCAAAGATCAAGAACATCCAAACAACAACAAAACAAAACAAAGCAAAAAAAGCCAAGATATCCTCAAGAGATCAGAAT